ATCATCCCCACACTGAGGGCCTTTCTCTGTATCCACATGGCACAGAGAAATATATTTTCATTTATAATTTGTTCCCTGTTCCCGGCCGCAAAAGATTCCCTGGTGTTAGGTCCAGACAGGACCTTTCACCTTACAGACTCCACGGTACACCTAGAAGTTAGTAAATATACAGAAATAGTTTTTTTGTTAGTACCCCCCTTTTTATTTTAATTTGCTCGGAATAAAACCGGTGCCTTCACTTATCACAACATGAAATAGCATTTTCTACAAACAGCACACAGCTGTACACACTTAAAACAGTGAAGAGCCAATTATTTCACACTACTGCCCTACCAGTATTAGAAGCCCATGGTGCTTTGACAGCTCCACAGCACATTTTGTGATATTTTGGGGACAACTCTCTTCACTTACTAATCATCATGTAAGTTTGTGATGCCACTGTGCTGAAGATTTGCATACACCCATACAAACAGGCCATTCTAGTGCCAAAGGCTAAGCAATTCCCACAAGGATAAATGTAGATAATTATTCTCTTTTGAGTACAAAAGAGGCCATTTAGCCTTTTTACATGAATAGTGTTTCAACTTATGTTGAAACCAGCACTTAATTCTCATGTCTGTTTAAAAATGGCCCTACACCAATGCTCATCCATAAAAGCCTTCTGCAAGGCACATGAAGAGTTCACCAAGACACCTCCTGCCTGGATGCTGTAGGCAAAGGAATTACCTAACTTAGCCAGCATTTCAGTTATCACAGAATCACAGAACTGTTAGGGTTGGAAAGGATCTCTGGAGATTATCCAGTTCAACCCCCTTGCCAAGGCGGGGTCACCTCTAGCACATGACACGGGAACTCGCCCAGGTGGTTTTTGTATGTCTTCAGGGAGGGAGACTCCACAATCTCCCTAGGCAGCCTGTTCCAGTGCTCTGACACCGTCAATGTAAAGTTCTTCCTCATGTTGAGGTGGAACTTCTTGTGTTTTAGTTTATGGCCACTGCTTCTCATCCTGTCGCTGGGCACCACTGAAAAGAGTGTGGCACTGTCGTCTTGGTACCCGCCTTTGAGATATTTATATGCATTAATGTGATCCCCTCTCAGTCTTCTCTTCTCCAGCTCACAGACCCCTTATCATGTTTGTGGCTCTCTGCTGTGGCTCTCCCCAGCAGCTCCTTGTCATTCTTGCACTGAGGAGCCCCGAACTGGACACAGCACTGCAGATGTGCCTCATGAGGACCGAGAGGAGGGGCAGTATCACCTTCCTGGACCTGCTGGCCGTGTGCACTTCCTAAGGCACCCCAGGACATCACCTGGCCGCAAGGGCACACTGCCGGCTCATAAAACAACTAAGGCCATTTTCGAATCTCTTTCTCCCCGCTAACAAACGATCTGGAGAACAGGAGCTGAAATCTGGAGCCATCCTTCCCACCGCAGCACGAAGGAGCTCACAACAAGAGCCCGCGCAGCCAGCGCCGCCCTTACCCGGCTGGTGGGGGAGCGCCGGCAGGAAGGGCAGGTGCAGAGGAGGCTGCAAGGCGCTCCCTGCCGGGGGGCCGGGGCTCCTCGTCCTCCCCACTGAGGCCTCCTCATCCTCCTCGTCCTCCTCCTCCAGGAAGCTGTCCATGGCGCCGCGGGCAGCCTGGCACCTCCTCAGCTCATCCGCAGCGGGCGCCTCCCAACTCGTGGGGCAGGATCCGTGGGCCAAGCCGATCCCGGAGGATCAGCTCGGGCCGGGTGAGCAGCGGCCGGACCTCCCCCTCACACCGGCGATTCCCGTCAGGCGCGCGCGGCACCGGCGGGGCGATCCCGGCGGACACCCGCGTTCTTAGGGACGTGAAGCGGCTCTGCCGCCATGACGGAAGAGGAGGGTGGGGCACGGCTCTGCGCGTGCGCACCGGGAGAGCGGGGCATGGCTGCCGCCATGAGGGAAGGGGGCGTTCCGTGTGCCCCCGGCGGCTGGGGGAGGTGCGCTGTTCACTGCTTCCCTCTGCCTATAGAAGTGGGAAAATAGAGAGTGCTGGCCAAGGGTGAAGCAGGAGGGATGGGGAGCGGCACGGGAGGGTAGTGTGCAGTGGTGTGGCAGGGAGGCGTTTAGTTCTACACGTAGCACAAACAAAGCATTACTAAAGCCCTGACTTATGCACCGGTTACTCTTAAAGTGACTTAGCGAGGTCCTGTTGTCACTCTTTCCATTAGCTGTGTGATAAACTATATATATTTTAGAGGGATTGTTTTTGTTAAGCTTACTAACACTTCAGGCTATGGATGTGCGATTTCTATATGTATTTCTCTCATAGCTGTTAAGACTACATATATTTTAAAGGGATTGTTTTTTAAGCTTAGCAAAACTTCGTATGCATTATGCATCTCCCACATAACTGTGAAATGCTTCTAACAAACTGCCGTTTGTTCCCGAGGTTGATAATAAAAGGGGGGTAGTCTGACCCTGTAATTTACAGTACCCTGATAACACCATTTAAGCCGACAAGCTGGAGACACCGAGAAGTTTCCCCTTAACAAGGAGTCAAAAGTGACTTAGGAATATGATAAGCCTGGAAGGGGAGGAAAATACCTATTAAGTGCGCATGTTCCAAGCTGGGTTCATCTATCGGACACTGAGGAAGAGTAGAAATCTTCCTCGCGAAGACCCCGGCCCACAAAGAAGCCCCCAGCCCACCGACGCCGGGAACACAGCCCAGGAACATGTATGGGAAAAACTTTGCAACTGAGCATGTGCAAAGAGCACATGCCCCGGACTATGTATGAATAAGAACCTAAGTACTGAGCCTGTCTGGACGGGAACCCAGAGGGTTCAAAAGGGGAATTTGAGAGCTCGAGGCGGGCGAGCTGTGTGAGAACTTTCTTATGTTCTAACGCCCCCGCCCCTCCCCCCCCGGCGCGCCGTAATTGTTCATCTACCGCTTACTAATAAATTGGCTTGTTATTTTACATTAGTCTTTTCAATTTCTTTAAACCATCGCTGGTAACTTATAACAAGCTGTGTTGCTGCTTTTCTGGTAGCTTGTAATTCGTCATGTTCTACAGAAGCAAAGGACTCCCAGTCAAAATCCTGTGCATTGTAGAGCAACACTGTTGCCTGTGCCCCTACAGAGTACCTGGATTCTGGGAATCTGCCTCAACCACAGATTCTGGTTTGTACAAGTTTGTACTGGGACTTGTTTCTTTAAACCCCTCGTGGCAACTGAATTTTTTGTGGACTGTTTTTGATGTGGGTAAAGTCCAGCTTTCTGTGTATGATTTTACAGAGTTTTTTTTCAGAACAGCTCTAAAATGGGAGAGTGTGTAAACAATCATCTGGCTCAGATTGAAGAATCATGTAATGCATGAACTGGTTCACCTGTGATCAATAATGTGTGTCAAGAAAACCGTACAAGGCAGAACACTTGTTTGCAGCATATAAACGCTGAACCTCAGTGCCATACCTTAATATGACATTTAATAAATCTGTGTAGGGATAACAGAAGTCTCCCTTTACTTTTCCTGTATTTTTAATCCTATGTTCTTCCAGTATACAACCAGCATTTCAGTTCATAAATATTTTGTATTATTAATTGATAATTAACTTACTGGACTAGTGATGATAAACTGTTATAGAGCACCACCTCTCTAAGACTGTCATTTTCTTTTACTGTCGTTTATAATTGCTACCCTCTGTGAGTATCTATCTCATTGATCCCTGGTGTTCCCCAAGTGTGATGGCACTTCCTACAACATTTCTGATCTTTTTTTCTGTCAGTTCCCTAATTTCAGTGTCCAGCTTACCCCACTTTATTTGTAAAAGTTTTCACGTTTGCATAGAAAGATGTTTACATTTGGCTTGTTATTTTTATTTTCCTGTGTCATACATGAGAGTCTTTTCAGATTCTTAGATAAGCTTAGCCAACTGATCTTGTTAGTGGGTATCAGTTATTTTAGTAGATATTTGAGTGCAGAATAGATAGGAGAACTTCTTTGTAACTGTAGATACACACAAAATGTTAGATTTCACATGTACAGTGGGGCTACTCTCATAGTTGAATACATCTCTTTCCAATATTGGGGTTGAAGACTGAAGGAAATTTTGCCTAAAATATCTAAATTGAACTAAGTAAAATATTTCTGGTTTGTGTCACACATTGGGGAAAGCTGGGTATGTTAATAAGTGGGTGTTCTTTTACTCTGAAATACTTGAAATGGTTGGGAATGCTGGACGGTTGCAGTGGTGATCTTGTGTATACATACCGGCTGCTCGATGCTCACTGTTGCACAATAAAGGCAATGACTTATGCAAGAACTATGTGATCTTGTTTTGTTTCACATCTCCCTTTCTTGCCCTTGTCTTTATGACCAGCAGATACCGTTACCTTTTATCTTGGTCTTTTAATAAAGATAAGCTTGATAACTTTGTACTCATGGAAAATTACTAAACAGCTTTTTCTTCACAAGAGATTGGACCTAAAGGTGTGGGCATTAGAACACAAGAAATATTAGTGTTGAGGGGAAAATGCTTGCCTTTCATTCATACAGTAATCATAAAATGTCTTGAATTCATCTACTTTTATACTGTAAATTGTGACAAAATTCACTTTTAGATTTTCTGAGTTAGGCTTTCCTAGAGCTTTTTATTAACCAATATCAGCGATGGCAAATAGGTATCACCTCATTTTATAGGAAGTGAACCACAAAAATGTCAAAAAAATTACAGGGTGGGCTACAGCCACGATAATGCACTAGGCATGGAGAACATATATAGGCACTGGGTGAATGAATCATTGCATTCCTGTAGCATGTGGATCCTCAGGATGGACAGGCAGGATGTCCAAGGTCGACAAAGAGGTACCAACAATTCATTGCAGCACTAAGGAAGACACCTGTTTCTACCTTGATACTTTTTCATAGTGTGAGTAATATATTAAACTGCTCAAGATGGAGGCTGAAAATTAAGTGCTTACACATTTTTCAGAGATTACATAGCAGTAACTAAACTTGGATCTCAGGCCCTGTATGATGGAGAAATGAGAGTGTATACAGCAAAAAATCAACAGTCATGAGGATGGGATAGGAACACATGCAATTAGTAGTGGTGATGGCTAACTCTGGAGATGTAACATTTAGAAGGACTCTTAAAAAAAGCCCTCTGCTGCCCAGAGTTGTCCTTTGACACTCACCTAAAAAAAGAAAAAAAAGAAAAAAAAAAAGAAAAAAAAAAAAAAAACCAGCAGGATCATTCACCTTGACTATGAGTTCAGCTTAGTGTCTGTTCATTTTGGGAGCCGCTTCAGAATTTGCCCTTTGGAAAGTTAAAAAAAAAAAAAAAAAAATTAACCAGCAAGAGGACTCTCTTACATTACCTGTCCCTTCTTGGCTGTGTCTTTTAATCTCTTCGTCCACTCAGAGCTGTGCTGATTGACATGAGACTGAAAAAAAGGAGGGATAAAAAGTTTTGGGTTTTCAGCTGTACGTTAGCATTGTCACTTCTTGCTGTCATCCTGCTATTTTAGATTGCTAAAGCAAAATGAAAGTGATGGATGTGAAGAAAAGGGAATGGTAACTGAAACCATTCTGGAATTCTGTGATTTCATAGTTCTCTTCTGCTCTCCCCCATGGAGCTGTGCAGCTTTCCTTCACCAGGAGTGCTTCTGACATGACAACTTCCATTCAAAGCGGAAGACTGTAAAGGCCAGAGAACAGCAAGTTCAAGCCTGTATAACCAGTTGAATTCATATTGTTGGTGATTACGGTTCTAAAAATCTTCCTTTCTTTCTTTTACCATCACAGCATAATTCCAGGATTGTGAAATGTGTAAAGGTAATTTTGATGAGAGGACTTTGGAACACCAGAGTATTGTTTTCTCATTAACTACTCACTGTTTTGGTGCTACTGTGTATATAATAAGCCAAATTCTTCTGCTCTCAAAACTTTGGAACATGGTGGGATTTTGGGATCATCCCAAATGTATCAGACTTGATGATCCTTGTGGGTCCCTTTCAACTCAAGATATTCTGATTCTGCCAGGGCAGGCACAGATGTACGCAAGCTTTCTGTCTGCAAGTGGAAGCTGCAGTTACAGAAGGGCAACGATGGGCCTGGTGTGAAACCCTGACTTTCCCCAGTGGAACCGCGGCTGAGTGAGTTCCGACTCCCGCCTTCACCGCAGCTGTAACCTCAGACTCTCAGAGGTCACCGACGGAGGTGACGGCTGCTCTTCCCCAGCGGAGATGAGAACTGCTCGGCGGGGCAGCCAGAGGGATGTTCGGGTCTGGGGTATCCTAAGAGGGGCCAACTTCATCCTTCCTGCACTGCGGCCAGGCCGCTGCGCCGCTCGCTATTCCAGCGATCCTCTACTAGAGAGACCCGCTATTAGTAAGCCCAAATAAGAGGCAGGACCTTCCCTCTTCTCTCCCCTGCGGAGCGAGCCTGAAAAAGAGCCTGACTCCTGCCGGGCGCGGCGGCAGGGATCAGGACGGGGATGGGGCTGCCGCCGACAGATAGGGAGGGTCCATGCGCTGTCCTCCTCTTCCCGCGGCGGCGGCGGGGCTGCGTTCGTCCCTCCCCCGCCACATCGCCCTCCCGCCGGCGTTGCTGACGTGTCTGCTCCCTCCCTCTCTTCTCCGTCCCTCCTTCCCTGCCGGCGCCTGCCGACATGGCCGCAGCCCCGCCGCCGGACCCGCGGCTGCTGTTCGCCCTGCTGCTGCTGCTGCCCCCGCCGCCTCTGCGCTACTGCTCCGCCGCCGCCGGCGGGCCCGACCTGGGCCGCCGCTTCGCCGAGCGCAAGCGCTGCGCCG